TCATCTGCATAGAGTAGACATGGAAGTTGGTTATTTAATAAAGTTGGTGGGTCATTGTGTGATGCATTTATATGGCTTTTAATATCATTTAAGTATATATTAAAAGGCAGCGGACTTAGACCATCGCTCTGTCTGATGCCTTTCTCAATTGGGAAAGTATTGGTCAAGCCGTTTTTAACCTTCACACATCCAATAGAGTTTGTATAGAGTTTGTTTGTAGTTGGGTTCGGTCGGACACATTCCAACTTCATTAGATACGATTTCTCAATCAACGGAAAAACTTGAGCTTGCAAACTCACGAATCACTTATTCAACGTAAACATCATTTATTGCTGATCGAAACACTTCAAACGAATTTACCATTGTAAACTTCTGGTAGTTACAGAGACTTGTAGAATGTCATAAAACATAAACGTTGACAGTTGAGCACGGACCAACAAGAACAGAACTGCCGTTAAATTTTAAAAAAGGAGGTCAACCAATCAGTGACTGCGTACTAAACTAATCATGGAATTTCAGAGATTGATTTCTATACAAACTGGAGCGAAATAAATATGTATAACATCTATAAACACATAACTCGGAATTACTCATTAAATTGGAACAAATAATCAATAAATATATAGAAATTATCAACATCGAAACACACCTTATTATATCTGTGGCTTATTATGGTTTCAACGATAGGTATACCCATTCCAAATCATCGATCACCAACAGTTAAAAGGCAGTGGTCGTCGCGCTGCGCATGTGTGACATTAGTGTTGATAAACATTGATTTTCCCACAATCCAATGCGCTCTTTTAATGGTAAACAGAAGTTATGAGGTTTGACCTGGGCGCGACTTACACTAATTACCGCCGGTGACTCCTTCGATACCTTCCAATCACCTAAAAATACCTAATTAAAGCTTGGTAACGTCTTAGTTTGTACTCGTTGATCTGCGCAACAGTCAAAGTCGCCACATTTGTTTATTTTATTATTATTATCTTTTATTTCAGGACAAGCCCATATAAAAAGTAAGAAAAAAAATATTAACAAATTACACAGTAATTTTATATGTTTACATTACACCCATATACCTGGCACATGCGTAGCGCAACGACCACCGCCTTTTAACTGTTGGTGATCGATGAAAAACTTGACTTGGGCTACCGGAACTAGTTTTTGAAATATGAACCTAATAAGGAACAATTTCTGTTCAGTATAATGACAAATTTTCAATTCAAAATGCCCGCCAGAATCGGGCGTTTAATGGACGAACCATGAGATCATTATTCCCAAAAACGCAATTTATAATTGATTTTATTCAAGTTATACCCTCATTTAAAATAGAACTATTGCCATGGTTCATCTTGCTGTAGATGTTCTTATCACTAATCTTGATTAAAATCTGATGTATGACACCAGTATATTTATTTGTCATATTTTATGATTATATTTTTGTTTATCTCCGTCTATTTTCTTCAAGAAAAAATGGGCCTATACCCTACAACGGATTTTAAACAGATTGTTATTTTTTCCTTCAAATCGAGCTTGACTACGAAGAGACACATTTGCTTTCATTATCACATCAGAGTACTCATTTACAAGAAAACCACGAAAAACAAAACAGGATTAACGGGTCATGTCTCGATGACTAAACCCGGCCATGAACAATCCCAACAGTATACATCTTTATTGTCTTGACCAAGACCACTGTGACAAATCAGGGTATTTCACTGGTATTTACCAACACAAACAAACAAACAAACAAACAAAACACCATTTATCAGATCAACAACCAATTTTATTTTGTTGTTTAGTTTAACATTTTTTGGGCTTATAACTTTTTTTTCGAAATGAGGTTTTAAAAGTACATTAAAATACATCTCGTGATTACAAGAGACGGCGTAAACTGGCAGGAACCTTTCCTCGAATTTGAAACTGCCATGGCCAGGATAACACATTGCGTTCACTGAAATCGTATTTGGAACGTAGCATATACTCATCTCGTGAATGTGCAGTGCATCTTCTAGACGAGAAGCGGTTGGTACTTGAACGGGAAGCAATTGGTGTCCAATCATACCCATCTTCGTGAGCGTTGCGTCGACTTCTCTTTTGAACACCAACGTTTTTCTTGATAACTTTTTTTCCAGATTGAATATTGTATGAATGTAGCAAGTTCGGACAGGCGTCAGAACGACGAAGTACAACACCTATTTTACGATGTCTTTGTTTTTTGTTGGTACCATTATTCGTCTTCGTTGTGCGTTTATTCTTACGAGTGGTTCGACGCAGTAGCCAAGAAAGTGTAACCTTAAGAGCAGAGCGATCGAGGGAGAACGCGTTGCCAAAATACATAATAGAAAATACGAAGAATGCCTCGGAAACAAGCAAAGATAATGCATAGTAAACGCGTTCCTCGTCTTCCAAAGGGATGTCCGACACTACTAATATATTCACCAGTGTAGCCATATAACGATTCGCTGGGACCCAGACGTAATGAAATCCAACGTAAATATAGACACATAATCTACAAAGGTAGTACGCTCCTTGTAAACAAAGCTGGCGTCCACGAACAATCTTTGGAAGATTATTGCTAAAAGCTAAACAAGCGATACTTAAGATAACCAGCACGGACGGCCAGAGAGGCGCATTACATAAAGATAGTTTGTCCATGATCTTCGAGTTAGGAGCAATCAAGGTACTTTAAGTGGTCTTCAGGCTAGGGATAACATCTGTCAATACTTTGTCGCTCCGATGGTGTCTTCAGACTGGGAAATGTGCCGTCGTCCCAGCTTTAGAAGTTTAGAATGTTTTACATTGTCCGCGTCAGCATAATGACATGTAATACGGCGCGCAACCATGGCAACTACCTGAACCACAGATATATCGAATTATCATGATATAATAATAATTCTCGTTATGATATTCTCTCTTGAACTCATGACTTATTTAAATACCTGAACATCAGAAATTCTTAAGTAATATTGATATATTACTTAATAACTTATGTCTTTCTGTTTGATATCAAAGGCGTTCTATATGAGTGTTCTGCAAAGTCGAAAACAACCTGTTTCCACTGATTTTAAATTTACCGCCTCCTTCCTTTTTGTAAAATAATTTTAGAGGACAAGCTGAAGATACAATTATGAATTTTCGTGAAGTAATTTTTTCTAAAATAAAATGCCCATTTTTGGTTTTGGCGGACATTTAAACTTCGAAAAATATACCGTGTTCTTCTTAATAATATAATGTCTACGAACTAACTATATGCTGTCTACCAGTCACTGTGGCAATAAAGCTTATTTTACATCGTATTGGCATCATTTTGTGAATATTCTTGTAGATAATTTTTCCGCCGTTTTTTATGTTTTGCACAGTTAGGGCAGTATAGGAATACTGAAAAAGCACCGTAGAATGAATTGGATTGAAACTGAATTTATTAACCTTTAGGCCAGACTTTTTTTTATTTCTTGTTTCTCGGGTTTTTGTTAGGCAATTTTTTTGAGGAGGGCGGAAAAAATAAAATTAATTATTTTTTTCCTTTAGATTTGTGTGATTCTCAAAGAATTGTAAGTGAGATCATTGATCGGAGAGAAAAAATGAAATAAAATTTTAATCGATGTATAACCTTGTTTCTCATCTGCGCAAGACTTCGGTACTTTGATCATATATTCCCACGAATTGCAACTTGGGGGTGTTATGCGGCGGGTGGAAAAAAAATGAAGATAAAAATAAGTTTTTTTAGCAATTTTTTGCACTTACAATTCGGAAATTACGCTGAAATAAAATTTTATTTTTATTTCATTTTCGACTCCTGTTCATTCGGCGGGTTTGCGAAACAAGGGATAATAAAAGTCTGGTCTTAAACGCCAGTGTTAACTTTTCCCGCTTCTGTTTTCACAGTAAAAATGTTAGTAGGCAAATAGAAACACGTGTCTATCTAATAGAACGATTACGAAGGTATAATAGAAAAGAACATAACAATTTATTATATAAAAATACTGTCTGGAAAAATAGTGACGTGTAATAAATTGACACCCAGAAACAAACAAAAAACAAAAACAAACAATTATAACAAACAATTATAACAAAAATAAATTGCGCATTTACGTTTTTTTTTAAATATTACAGATTAAAAAAATAATAATACAAATAGCAAAATACATAGAAAACTGAAAACAATGAAGTCAGCTACCTCAAGACAAGGTCATGTACATACATTAGTAAACTAAATATTCACCATTATATTATATTTGTCTTTCTTCGCATCTGTATTGCATTTTATTCAATATTCTATAAATAAGGATGGAAAAAATCAACACAGCTGAGCCAGTCTGTATTCGGCTTGTAACGTGCAATGCTCAGTACCTCGAACGAGGCTAAGTATTGAGCCAAATCCAACATGGCGTCTCTTGTAGTACGCTGTGTATTTGGACCGCGGTTGTATAGACTATACGGTAAAGGTGAAATTAGGGTGAGTATAAGTATTTCAGCCAAAAAATATTGATTAAAAATTGAAGATACTGCGCTATTCCAGTGATAGCGAACCGATCTCCAAAACGGTGAGTATGTCACCATGTCGCGATGATGCAACTCGAGTGAGACACTCACATCTCCGGTTTCACATCACCATCATTTTGGGGGTGAGGGGTGTATTAGTCTAAATATGGAGAGTTGCATGACATCGTGGTGGAATGCAGAGATTGGGAACCTGCCATATCAGAAATATCTGTAGTCATGGCCATACGTGAAATACAAAATTGGGTGTAATTTTCGAGAAAAAGGTATCTTTATTTGACCCCGAAAGTGAACTCAGAGAGGTCGGCCAGAGGTTTAAGTCGGCCAGGTTATGTGTTAATTGTCTGTGAATATTGGTGGTGTCTGTGTCATATTCTAACAAACTGCCCATAAAATAAAATACTGTACAATACACGGACGAACTGGGTTCTGGGTTATTGTTCCCGTCGAACGTAATCCGAAACGGGCACTTGTGTTTTGTGTTCCGTGCCTGCGTGTGTGTGTGTCCGCCAGTGCGTGCGTCCGTCGTTATTTCTCAGAGACGCCATACAGATTTTCTTCAAAGCTGGTACAAAGACAAGTCATAATGGGAGATTTCATATTTACGATTCGATCATTGGGCCCTATGTATTTACATGGTCGGAGTGAGTCATGTCATTTCAGCACTAGAAACAACTCAAATTCGGACAAGCAGACAATAATGACAATTTCAACTCTGTGATGCTTCACTGTAGCTTTTCAGTGATTTGTTTCGAATCACAACAAAATTTACTTTTATTTATTTGTTTGAATTGTGAACAAGAATAAGATATATACCCTATCTCAATGTGGCGGCGCAAACCTCTATCTAGTTCAACGTTGATCGACATCTATTGATTTGGAACACCAGCCACAGAGAGCAATATAACATGATTTAAACTTGTCCTTTTCGGTGTTTTTTTCCCCTTGCCATCATATTCAATATACGGAAATAGCATGTGTGTGTGCGTTTGCGTGAGCGAAAAAGGCTGGTGAGACTTGTTTCACGTGTTCTATTTATTTCCAACACGCGTGGTCGGCGCCTTTGATTGCATTTATTTTGGGGTTGTTATTCGCAAAATATATCACTGGCAGCGTTTGTTTTGTCATGTATCACAACTGAATGTCCAAGCTGACTTTGTTTTGGCTATAGGTGTAGGTGGGTCGAGATGTCTTAGGGGTACTGGGTCGAGTTGTCCAATAAAAAAATGGGCCGATATTTTTTGGGGTTGAGATGTCCAGTACCCAATTCGTTGTAGCTAATAGTGCTGTGTGGGGAGTTCAATTTGGGTGTGGCTATTGTGAGTAAAAGCTGGGTGTGGTCACTTAATCTTAGCTTACATTGTATTCCCCATTCAGTACCATTCAGTACAAAGTGAACGTTTACGAAATATTTACCTAAAATATTACTATGCTATTACTATAAACAAAACTATATAACTTTGATAACTAGTGGGGACTGCGCCATGCATGGCTTGTTTCACCATGTTTTTGATTTGATTGATTGCAGGGCCATGATTATGAAGCTAATCGGTTAGAAAGACACAGTGATACAGTTGTAAAATGGGTGAGTTTCAGATCAAATGTCACTGCTGTTAGTTTTAGCCAACCTGTGTTCTTATGTCAGACATCGCCCCATAAACTGAACCCTCCAACAATACATGTACATGTAGCAATCAACCTAACGTGTTTGTCCAAATACTGGAAATTTAAAACGATGTCATTACAATTAAACTGCTCACACTACTAGCCTAAAAACGCTCAATCATAATTAAGTGGCAAACATGTAAACAAAGTCGATATAGATGATGGCAGTGAAGATGGGCAAATACATGTACATGTTATAATGTTGGTGCAGTCATGTGGATGGAACAACCCAATCCTGATGTACACATGAAAATACTGGATTTTTTGCTATTTCTGCTGAACAGATGATTTAATGAAAATAAAATCCAGCTAAAGTAAAGTATTTTACAGGTTTGTAATTCATTTCGCCTTATACTGTACATGTAAATGACAAAGTCATTCTTTCTCAAAATATAAACCTGCATCATTTGTTTTCATTTTTTTTATTGAAATTTTGATCAAGACATAGAAATGTCCATCCGGTCACTGCTATGGATTTTTCATGAATTGATGATTTCGATGTTCATGCGGATAGCATTTTGTGAAAAGTCAATACAACTCTCTAGGACCTAATAAAACTAGTAAAATTTTCACTGCTACAGAATTTGCTTAAATTTGTCTGTTGCTAAAATTAAAGCACTTTACCGATTTATAAGACACATGAAAGCATTGTACTTTAATTGTGTTGTCATAGTGATTTTTCTATCATTATTTGTTTAGGTTAATTTCTTTTGGAATGTAGGCTGGTACATGTCACCGGGAATTGGACTTTTTTTATACAGACGAGGTAAGAATAGCAAACAAACATTCTCACAAAAGCAAATAAGTAATCAGATACCCAGTACTCATTTCATTGCAATGTAGTATTTTATAAAATAATATTACAAAGTATATCTTTTATTGAAAACTTACTGTATTTCCTTTTTTGTAGGTTATTTCTGTCCTGAAGGGCTGCTTAGTTTGGCTAAATTTGCTGGTAGTATATTAGTGTTGTTATTTGGAGCAGTTTGTGTAAGAGGTATGTCAAGTAAACACTGGTGCCCTCAAGTGGCAAATATCATTATAATCTTTGTGGGATTCTGTTATGTGAACTGTTGTGGTATGTGTGTTGTCAGCGTTGTGTCCCATCTCAAGAAAAGAAGGAAGTACATGTATAGGTGTCTCAAATGATGTCTTCCCTTTTTGTATGTTTTTTTTAATATTTTTTTTTGTAAATCTCAGAGAAACTGCCTCAAATTGCACATACCACATAAAATCTAGTTGTCAGTAATTTTACAGTATCTTCATTTTACGCATGTCAAATATACGCTGATCTTTACTACAGTACCTTTACTACCTCTAATGTCTAATGTTTCTCTCAAGATATATACAGCATAGTGGTAAACACACAGTACTTTGTTTAACATCACAATGGTCTGACACTGCTACAGTAATTATTCATTGAGATGCCCTCCAATACATGTATTGGTGGTATCAAATAAAACATTTTTCTACTGCCCTATCAGAATCACTGTGCGAGTCTGATATCTCCTCTAAGGCTACATAGATGTACCATCATGCTGTGTGTTTATCCAAAATTTCTTCTTTTTTGTAGGGATTGGTAGACTTTCAAATCCTGAATACAGACAATTTCTTAAAATATTACATGATGCAAGTGTTAACAATTCACCAAATGCCAAGGTATTGTTGTTGTTACATTGCATTGCTCTCTTCATGGTGTCAAATAATATTACCATAATGAATGCTGTGTTCTTATACCGTGCTTGTCCGAGTATAAACCCCTGCTCGAGTATAAGCCCCCCTCCAATTTACAGCATTTTACAAGTCATTTATCCGATTATAAATCGCCCCCACCCCGGCCTGGAAAATTATTTGGTATGTGAATAACGGTAGTTTCCTTTCTGAAGGATATGGTGGCCCTGAAAATGGCCGTTTGATTTGTTTGCACAGTATACACAAACGTTAATGTACCCCACTTTGAAATGCGTTCCATGTAGTAACTGTTGAACCGCAGGCACAGCTTCAGTTTTAGTCAGGAAACCATTGCAACATAGCTGGGCAACACAGATTCTTGGCAAGTGGTTAAACACTGGCTTCTTTGCCTTCAGATAATATCGGCCATTCATGGAGAGATCGCTATCCATAATCTTCAAAACAATCTATGCTATGTCTTGTTGCAAACTAGCAACTTTGCTACCACACCGTATCACAGGGTCTGCACTTTGCTACCACACCGTATCACAGGGTCTGCACTTTGCTACCACACCGTATCACAGGGTCTGCACTTTGCTACCACACCGTATCACAGGGTCTGCACTTTGTTACCACACCGTATCACAGGGTCTGCACTTTGCTACCACACCGTATCACAGGGTCTGCACTTTGCTACCACACCATATCACAGGGTCTGCACTTTGCTACCACACCGTATCACAGGGTCTGCACTTTGCTACCACACCGTATCACAGGGTCTGCACTGTGCTACCACACCGTATCACAGGTTCTGCACTTTGCTACCACACCGTATCACAGGGTCTGCACTTTGCTACCACACCGTATCACAGGGTCTGCACTTTGCTACCACACCGTATCACAGGGTCTGCACTTTGCTACCACACCGTATCACAGGGTCTGCACTTTGCTACCACACCGTATCACAGGGTCTGCATTGAAGCTCATACGGCACACCAAACTCAAGCTGATTACATCTGTAATGTGACATGCCAACTGCCAACATGCCGTGTATTATAATTTTCGATTTGCCCATAATCGTATTCAATTCACTGAGGAAAGACCCGGAAGAAAGGCCTGTGCTTCAGTCGCCGGTAGCTGCGTTTAATTGCCTAATCCACAAATGTTTTTCTAAAGAAACATTGCCTTTGTTCCATGTTGCAAATGAGAGAAACACTTGTTTGATTGACAGGTCTTTGGTTATCATGGTGTAAGAACGAGGTGCAAAACATATGTTCATCTACCGGTACATGACACAATGCCCTTTTAATTTGAATGACGTCTGTCTGCACTACATGCCATCTGATTGAAAGACTTTAAACAAATTTCCCATTTTCCGGACTTTTCAAAGTTACATGTATTGCAATGTACTCCACAGGATTGATTGTACATGAAACATGATCACTTGCGCTTGATAGTCTGAGTTGGTACATGGAAATGACTATATCCACAGAGTTTATTTTTGCAAAGTTCCATGTTGCAAACGCGAGAGACACTTGTTTGATTAACAGGTCTTTGGTTATCAGCACCGACAACTTTTGACGATGATGTATGAATGAGGTGATTTGAATAAACAACATGTATGTAATGAACTATCCATGACCCCATCCTCGTGACCCGGGACCCTGATAAATGTGTGCCGTTTCGGGTGTCATATTATATATTTTTTTTTAAAACCATCATTTAATCGGAAAAGACGAGTACAGTTTGGACCCCAAAACATACAGACCAATATTCATGTGAAACGCAGGGTTGAATTCTGTTCCACTTAGTAAATGCACCCAAGAGTGATTAGTGACCCTAGGGCGTAACGATCGATCCTCAAGTTAATTTGGACGATGGTAGTTGATGAAGACATTGATTTGTTTATAAATAAATTAGCATAAATGATCACTCAGGAGAAGTTTTAACTTTTAACTATAAGCCCCCCCCCCCCCCCAATTTTTCGTCAATTTGCCATTTTCCTGGAGTGGTTTATACTCTGACAACTATGGTAGATATTCACTTGCATAAGGCTCAACAGCCACGAAGTGAAGAGAAGACTTTGTCTTTGATCAACTTTATATACACATATAGTTACAGTTGTGTTTTAATTTGGGCCAATAAACCACTAATAATGTGTTTCACCCTAGTGAGGGTTGCTTTGGACAAAAATGGCCTTGAGTGGTCAGTGTTTGATATGATCTGTATTCACAAAATTATCAACTTCAACATGTTTCATCACCTGATATATCACCCAAAACATCACATGACATATCATCTGATATATAACCCAATACATCAAATGATATATCATCTAATATATCACCCAATACATCAAATGATATATCACCCAATACATCACCTGATATATCACCCAATACATCAAATGATATATCACCCAATACATCACATGATATATCACCCAATACATCACCCAATACATCCTCTGATATATCAGCCAATACATCACCTGATATATCAGCCAATACATCACCTGATATGTCACCCAATACATCTACTGTTATATCACCCAATACATCAAATGATATATCACCCAATACATCACCTGATATATCAGCCAATACATCCTCTGATACATCACCCAATATATCACCCAATACATCACCTGATATATTACCCAATACATCATATGATATATCACTCAATACATCTTCTGATAAATCACCCAATACATCACCTGATATATCACCCAATACATCCTCTGATATATCAGCCAATACATCACATGATATGTCAGCCAATACATCACATGATACATCACCCAATATATCACCCAATACATCACCTGATATATTACCCAATACATCACATGATATATTACCCAATACATCACATGATATATCAGCCAATACATCACATGATACATCACCCAATATATCACCCAATACATCACCTGATATATTACCCAATACATCACATGATATATCACTCAATACATCTTCTGATATATCACCCAATACATCACCCAATACATCACCTGATATATCAGCCAATACATCCTCTGATATATCAGCCAATACATCACATGATATGTCAGCCAATACATCACATGATATATCACCCAATGCATCTTCTGATATATCAGCCAATACATCACATGATACATCACCCAATATATCACCCAATACATCACCTGATACATTACCCAATACATCCTCTGATATATCACCCAATACAT